AAAATAACTATCATTCATATTACAAAAGTTTGCTCCGTTTTTCACTCACACCCCAAAAGTTAGTTGACAGGTGTGTCAGACCACTTTTTACATGTGAAAAGACATCTTACCCTTTGACTTTGGTTTGACCCAATAAATTGTTTCTTTAATGATTAAAATTACATGTTTACCCTCATTTGACTTTAGGTTGACTATTCAAATGACATGTTTACCTTTCCTTTTCCATATACAAGAATAAATAAAATAGGTGATCAACATCATACAGTTTGCTATTAAGAGCTATTATACGTCATATAGGTGTTCGGTTCTATATTTTTTTAAAGAAATTAATGAAATTTTAAGTAAAATTTTTTTAAATTTTTTAAGGAAATTAATGAAATTTAAAAAGAGAAAGAGAAAAATAAGAAAAATTTTAAAAACTAAAATAAGAAAAATCACCCATTCATATATTTTTTTAATAGGAAATTTAACTTTTATTATTTTTTTTTTCTTCATCGGTCTAATTTATCCTCTCTCTCTCTATCAACATATACACTTTCTATACATAACTGATTGGTGCCATAAACCATAAACTCCAATACTAATTCCCAAATCAATCTGTAAATACCCTGATTAATAAATTGAAAGAAACAATTAATGGGTTTGGTTTCCCCAAAATTGATTAATTACCAAAAAAAAAAAAAAAAAAAATTTATAATATATGAGTGTTATATATAGATTTACAAGTCGCTGCCAGAATTTTTTTTTTATCCGTACCTACTGCAAGTCGGTGCCGGTGATTGTTAAAAGATTTACAAATTATATATATGTATGTATGTACAACACTTTGAATTCTATCTACTTTTCTCTCCCCTCTCCCTCTCCTCCACCATTCCGACTCCAAACCCAGTTATATACAAATGTCCCAAATACAAAGGCGCTAGAAGAATTTGTAGACTCTTAATAAACAAAAACTGAGGTTTTTTTTTGGAGTAATTAAGTATCAAATACTGAGTTTGTGTTCGCGAATTCTATGCATGATTAATTAAAAAGTTGTATGGAAGATTGCTTTGCCCAGTATATATACACAATTGTAGATGCCTAAGTATGTTAAAACCTATTTGAGGAGATTTCCCATTCTCCTTCACCAACCTTTTTTCTTTATTTTTGCCATGGCTGGCATACTCTCCCTTATACTTAATTTGACATCAATCATTACGTCTGCTTCAGCGATCATAACAGCTACTGGGTCGCAATTGACCCACACCTAAAGTCGATCTCTACGGCCAAAGGGGTATCCGCCATGTTCATACTTCATAGTGAAAGTGGGGGTCGTAAAAGCAACCAAGGGTCGCGCCATGGACGGCGACGATCGTTGTTGAAGGTTTTTTCAGAAAAGCAACCAAGTTTGGTTGCTGCTTTTGGGGCAGCGATTGGTCGGCGTGATAATAGCGGTGGCGGTGACTTGTTCATCGCCATACCTGCTGCAAGTCGCCGCTGGCAACAATCTTACCTGCTCGGTATATATATATATCATATATACATACATATAACTGATGGGCTCTCTGCAGCCTTACACAGTGTGGTTCTTCAGGCACCCTCTGTACTTGGGTTTCCTCGGCACCCCACCATCGTCTCTTGTACCTGCTCGCCACCATATCCTGCGCCTGCCCTGCTGCTGCCTTTTTGTGCAGACATCATCGCCGGTGTTGTGCTTGTGTGTGTGTGTATATATATATATATACGGGTATATGTTTGTATGCGATCAAATAGAGATAGAGGAGAGAGAAATAGTATGATTAAAAAATCAATCTAATAATTTAATTAGGGGTATAATAGTCATTTAGGGTATTTGATATTTTAGAATAAATGTGATTAAAAAATTAAGGGCAAAGTTGTATTTTTCTATGCTTTTAACGGAGACTGTGACATAAAAGCGAAAATAGACCTAAGTGATAGTTATTTTCGAAAAATGTTTTAGACTGATATTTGGCCAAACTACTGGGGGTGTTAGTGAAATTATCCCATGTTTTAATAATAATAACCTCCACTACCCATAGGTCATAACCCTTACCCATGTAGGTCCATCCAAATAGTTCATACGACCCATTTATTTGGCCCACAACTACTAACCAAATCCAACTCCTTTTTAAATTAAAATTAAAATAAAACACATATATAAACAAGCAACTAAAATTACATTTAAATCGACACATCATCTTTTAACACATAATCTCTTATCACAATTAATTTAAAAAAACACTTAAGCACACACTTATAATTAAACAATTAATTCATTTAAACATATACATGAAGCCACATAAACATATAGCCACGTAAACAATTAAAAATGCACAAGAAATAAAAATTTAAATTTCAATTATATCCTTTTTTAAAAAAACACTTAAGCACACATTTATAATTAAATAATTAATTCATTTAAACATATACATAAAGTCACATAAACACATAGCCACGTAAACAATTAAAAATGCACAAGAAATAAAATTTTAAATTTCAATTATATCCTTTTTAAAATTAGGAGTATTACAGGGGAGCAATTGATCGAAGAGGTATTGGCATACTGTACTCTTTTTCCTCCGTCGAGATTTTGTCTCACTGAGTTTTCCTGGCAATGTTTTAATAAGACAGTTTTAATTTATGCAATATCATTTTCAAATACACAAGAATACTGTACTATTTTTCCTTCGCTAGGGTTTTGTCCCACTGAGTTTTCTTTAATAAAGTTTTAACAAAGTATATTCTTAATGTAATATTGTGGACCCTAAAGAAAAGTGTTATATATATTTAATTGTGTGGAGTCCCCAAATGAATTAAGTAATCTAAAATGTCACCTTTTTGCGTGGAAAATAAGGCCACATTTGTGGCTTATAAGGGAAGCTAAAATCTGAGCCTATATAAGGCCATGCGTATGTAGTATTTTGGGACACATGAATGAAAAGCCATTTTCATCTCTCTCTTTCATTCTCTCTCTCTATCTGAAAGCTATTTTTATTTCTCTCATTTAATATTACTCTCTCTTTCTCTCTCTCTCTATACATATATATATATTTACACACACATATATTTATTACACATATATTTATTATAAGAGCTGTATTTTTTTTTTTTTTGGGTCATAAATGAATGATTGCATTATATATTCATCTTCTTGATTTCCCTCTTCTTCAAGAACTTCATCATTAACATTTCAAAAAAAATTAAAAAAAAAAAAAGTTCATCATTAGCTTGGTGAACTTGTTCGGTGGATTTGTATGGGGCTTGAAATTGAGAGGTGGTTTGGTGGTGGATGAAACGTTGGTGACATGGGTGACCGTGTGACATATATATTGGGTTATCAGAGGTGGCATTAGTTGTCGAGAGTGGAGGGGGCGGGATGCAGGAAGGCTAAGGAAGAGGGAGGAAGGAGGTTCATGGATGATGGATCTAAGAATGCATTTGCAATATTTTTCACTTGTTTTGAGGTTATATTATAAATTAATTTATATTTAATGAATTGATGAATTTTTGAAGGGTTGATAAAAAAATATTTTGTAGATAAAAAAGTGGTGAATTATTATTATTATTTCTAAGATATGTAATACCATTCCCTCATTTTAGAAACCAAAATCTTTAAATATTACATGCCCCTGAATAGATTTAGAATTTTCATAATTGGATTCCTCCAAAACCTTTAAATATCACATCCTCTACTCGAGTGGATACTGAACTTTTTCTTGTTATAGGTTACACTACAATTTTTTTTCTTCAGTTTTTTCATTCATATATATATATATATGAATGGAAAATCACATTTATTGTGATCTGCCAAGCACATAAACAACATGACGGCTCACAATGTTCATGGAACATTGCCTTTCTAGATCGAAGGATGTATGACGGGGGGATAAATATTAGAAAAGAAATGAAAATTTTACCTAAGGAAACCCTCACAATAGTTTTGTTTTATAATGTCATTGCCCCCTCTTCTAATCTGACCCAAAAATTCGTCACTCATGGGTGATACGTACTCCAAAAGGAAAAACATCTTATGTAATCTCGTTGATAAGAATGAATTCCCTTTGCATATATATGTAAAATTGAAGTAAAATCATTTTATTTTAACGTCGTCCAAAATCCCAACTTGAAACTATATAAATTCTTTCCGTCAACAAACATTAGCTAAGTCAAAAGAAGTGAGTTAATTTCTCTAAACAATATCTATATATATATATATATATATATATATATATATATATATATATAACCATTTGGAACAAAAGTTCAAACCGAGAGAATGTTAATCCAATGCATCCAAGTAATAGAAATCCCTTGGCTAGCATTCTCGGTTCGACTGTTAGGCTTGAAAATCATTATCCTATGTTGTGATTTTATTGGTTCTGCACCCATCCAAAGCTGGAATCAGCAAATAATTATGATAGTAGATTCAGTCTCTGGGTAAGGAACCTGCTGCATCTAATGTTAATTCAAAACGCATTCCGGCACGAGACTCTGTATACATGCTCACCCATTGATAGCAAGAAAAGTACTGACTGACTGCAGATCATTCTCTCACAACATTGCCTGCTGCAGTAATGTGATTTGGTCGAGCTCCATACTCTATCCTAGTTGTATCTCCAAACGTAGCATGAAGTCTAATTCTTTAATTAGAAATTTTCATCTCAAAACCTACAATCAAACAATATAAAAGCATAGTGCAATACTCAGTTAATGACAACTAGTATTTGCATCCAGCGTTGAGCAGATTGTTTGCCTTTGAAGAGACTTGAAAGAGAACTAGGTTAATACTCAGTTAGTAACTAGGTTAATACTCGTTACCTAGAGAAAGTCGTACCTCCAAGGTTCTCTAAGACCCTCCTCGAAGGACTCCAAGGAATAAATAATGATTCAAAACTCTTGAACAATCAAACAGACAAACTGTTTGCAAGCAAATACGCGCACACAAAGGAGTGAGAAGCTCAAGCTTAGCTGCTAATACTTTCCAAAAGGAGAAACAAGAATCCCAAGAGAAGCAGTAATTTTTTTTTTTATTTTTTTTATAAAATATCACAGAACATTAAACTGCAAATAGAGTAAGCTATAAGAAGAAACTATCAAAACACCATAAGAAGGATTCAAGGAAGAGAGTGGTCAGTGACCAGAAAATGTTGATGACACGGGAACAAGTTGAGGAAGAGATTGTGCAAAATGGAACAAAGATGATGTACAAAAAAGCCAAATACCATAGCGGTTGGTATTGGGGAAGGCAGAGATCCTCCTTAAAGTATCTCTGTAGTAGATGAATCGAGGGGAAAACAATTTGTTGATCACTCTATTGCATCAGAATTTTCTTCTGACTCGGTCCCTGCATTCCAAGTCGAAATGGGAAAAAATAAGATTAATGAATGAATGAAAACTCATCATTATAATGCCGATCACGGCTAATATCTCTCTTCTACAGCACATAATTATGCACAGCAATGGTCATGCATGTACGAGGCATGGACCAGTGCGTACCAGAAAATCATGGCATTCAAATCATGTATATGCACACACACACTTTCTATGCAGATTTTATGGCTATACACAGTCGCGATGAGCATATCCGTTTTGGCAATGAAAAACACAATGCTGATCTCTAAGACCAATCAAGTGTGTCCTGAGTAGCATATCCGAATTGGCAAAATACAAAACACAATGCTAATCTCGAAGAACAATCAAGCGTTTCCCGAGTAGGTTACCTTATATGCCTGCATGAACTTTGATATTCTTTAGAATAGTATAGCCTTTTCATGTAAGCATAGTAGTTCTACCTATATATTATAATACAATGTTTTAGCTATTCTGAATACTCATTATACATAGTCAAGAGCTACGGTACCACATTACAGATATCTACAGTAATTTCTATAAACTCAAAGTACATATACATACAAACATATATGCATATATGTATGAACTATGAACTTTTAGAATTTTCAATTTTTTGTGCATAGCACCATGCCACTTCATCCAAAACAAAAAGCATAACAATGAAGCATAAGAAAAGTTCTGATTCAATTAAAGCAGGACACATTATAATAATAGCTAATTCACTATATGAATTATAAGGTTAAAAAGAAAAATAAAATTAAAAAAAAAAAAAAAAAAAAAACAGAAAAAAGAAAGGAAAAGAAAAGCAGAGCTAGAATCACACACATATATAGACAAAAATAAAGAACTAACCTTCAGTACCATCTTCTTCATATTCATCATCCTCACTCTCTCCGTCATAGTCATACCCATACATCTGGTTCAAATAATCCACAGTCTCCTTTGTAAACACCAACTTATCCGCATTCAAAATATCAAACAGATTCAAGGTCCTCGGCGTCAGCATCTTCAAAGTCCCAATATTCCGGCTCGAAAGCTTCAGATTATCCGGAACCTCAGTCAACAAGAACATCGATTTCTCCGTCGGGTCGATCCCCCACCTCTTCATCGCCGCAATGAACTCCTTTGTCTTGGGCTTCTCGAACTTCTCCCCAAGCTCCTCCACCACAATGCTGTTCACGGTCGCGCTCGACAGCGCCGTCGAAATCGCCAATCTCTTCTCTTTCCGGTTTATTTTAATGCTCCAATCTCTAGGTTTGGGGCCGAAGACGACGCCTCCGCCGGGACGGAGCGGGGTTCGCTGCGAGCCGCGGCGGGCTCGGCCGGTTTTCTTCTGGGGGTAGGGCTTTCTGCCGCCGCCTCTGACCTCACCGCGGGTGAGGGTGGAGGCGGTGCCGCGGCGCTTGTTCTGGAGGTCGGTGAGGATGCCGCGGTGGACGACGGCGCGGGCGGTGTTGGGTGGGGCCGACTTGAGGTTGAGAGTGGTTTCGCCGATTTTGGCGCCGTCGAAGGAGAGGATTGGGATGGTAGCGAGCTCAGACCGGATTGGTGAGGTGTGAGTCTGAGTGTGAGAAAGGGGTTTTGTGGGTTTGAGAGAATTGGGGGTTTTGAGTGCTGAGGTGAGTTTTGGAGTTTGGTGAGAGGATGTGATGAAAACGGAGGATGAGAAGAAAGAAATTGCAGAGTATGATACTGAATTCGCCATTGTAGAGAGAGAGAGAGAGAGAGAGAGATTGGCCTTATCCGTTGAGCTGTGTGACACTGCGACTCCTTTCCACTGGTACTACAGTGTTTGAATGCTGTAACCCGAAAATCATTAACCCCGAAGTAAATGACAAATTTAACCTTATTATTTTTGTGTTAAATTATAAATTATAAATTATTTTTTAAAATTACAATAATATCTTTTAAAATTATAAAAATTATGTTTAAGAGGGACTGAGGGGTAAGAGTGAAGAAGAGAAGATTAAAGAATATTTTTGTAATTTTAAAAAATAATTTTTAATTTTTAATTTAATATTAAATAGTAAAGTTAAATTTGTTATTTTATAATCCGGTTAACGGGTCGGACACAAAAATTGGGGCAGTTTGATTACTTTTTAAAAGTATAAGGGATTTTTAAAACATGTTGAGGTTTTATGATCAAAATTTAATGTTACGTTTGATATGTATCAATGAAATAGAATGCAATTGAGAATGAAATGGAATGACTATTCTCATTTTATTGTTTGATTGTAAATATGAAATGTGTATAAATGGAGTGATAATAACCATTCTATTGTTTGGTTGGACTAATTTAAAATTTAGAATGAAATAAATTTCAAATTGAATTCTTCAAAAATATCCCTTTTAGTAAAAAATAAATTAAATTAACAAAATGACATTCTTCTATAAATTTTAAAAAAATAAATGGTGGTAGTGGTGGATGGTGGTGGAGGTAAAAAGTAGTAGTGGTGTAAGTAGTGGTGTTGGAAGGCGACGGTGGTGGCAATAAGGAAAAGTGGCGACAGCGATGGCAATGGAAGGCAGTGGCAATAGTCTGGTGGAGGTGGTGGAAGGAGATAGTGGCGTAGGTGATGGTGGTGGAAGCCAATGGAGGTGACTTTGGTGGTGGTGGTGGAAGCCAATGGAGGTGACTTTAGTGGTGGTGGAAGACATTTGAGGTGGTGGTGGTGGAAGGCAGTGGAGGTAGTGGTGGTGGAAGACATTTAAGGTGGCGACGGTGGTGGTGACAGGGGTTGTAATGTTTCTAATTTTTTCCTCTTTTTCACTTTTAGGAGATTTTTCGATTTTTCGGATTTATTTTATTTTTATTGTCTCGTTTTGCCTATCGGACACCGGGGGGTATACTGGGTGGGTTTCAAGACTTAGATGAGGCATTTCTTCGAATTCGGGACTCTTAGAAATGCATTGTTGGCCATTTTGGTATTTTTCAGTTTTTCTGGCCGAAAGGTTCCGGGCGGGACCCGCAACCGGATTTGTCGTGCACGGAATTATTTTTCGGGGCCGTTGTCTTTCATACATAATTATTTGATGCCTATTTGTGTGGCTATATGTTTAGATGTGTGGTTGTAGCATGTGTATATATATGTGGGGAAGAGGACAAAAGAGATATTTTGATTTGGGTAGACCCCACATGACTTAAAGGCTTATTACTAAGACCACGTTTGGTTGAGTTTTCTGCAGTTTCTTCTTCCTCTCTGCGTGGGTTTTCTTTCTCTCTCTAAAACTTATCCTCTTTCTAGATCTATAAGCTTCAAAGCTTGATTTCACCCACTTCTATTTAGTTTTCGACTTTGCCATTGATCGGAGCAGAACTTCGTTTGGCCACCTTTGGGATTTCGATTTTTGGGCTGATTTTGGGGTTTTCTCTCAAATTTGAGGTAGGAGACTTCTAAAACTCATTTTCTTTGGCTTTTATGAATTATCTTTTTCGTGATAATGTCTTTACATGCTAAATTGTAAGTTTATTTCATGGCCATTAGAAATTGTATGTATGAGAAGCATGGTAAGGTGTCTTATGTGTTGAAGGTGTTAAATTGCATGCTTAAGTAATTTGTTGCAAAGATGTGTACTTAGTTGATTGATTTACATGCTTTACTTATTTATGCGGCCGTGATTGATAAATTGAGATTGTGGTGTTTGTGTATAAATTTGCTCCCAAAGCATGCAATCATGATATAGGTGAAATGTGTGAAATTGTATACTTGACATGGCATTGAATGGCATGAAGCATTCGTGTATGACATTGGGCAAAAAATAGGAAAATTGTTTTGAAAAGAAAAGAAATTAGTTTGGGAAAAAGATTTGAAAAAGAGGTTTACGAAAACCCAGTCACCTAGGAGTTGCCTAGGGTCCATGACGTTAATGTGACCTAGAGAGAATTAGAGAGACTGCCCTAGCGTGGTTGAGCTACCTAAGCCCCAAATGACACCTTGGAATTGTCATGTGGTCAAGGATAGTTAGCCAATCTTTCTCTCATGGCGCTATGGAATTGCCATGGGCCGGGTTGCATTAACAGTTTGGAAAGGATGAATGGAAAATGTTTTGGAAATGGAGAGCGACATTAGCATCTCATTTGCATCCCATTGGCGTTACATTATGTGGTATGGTTTGGTTGATCATGTTGTTGGTATATTTTCTCCCAAAATAGTATGACTCCGTTCCTTATTCTCTATGCTTTGTTTAGATTCACGAGGTCATTAAGAGGTATATTTTTGACACCTCCTACTGAGCCGTTGTGCTCACCCCTTCATTATCATTTTTAGGTCACAGCAAGGAAATGGCGAATAATAATCCCCCACAAGTTTAGATGGAATGGATGGAACCTTGACTTCTTTTGTAATTCATGTATACGTCTCTATTTTTGTTATATTATTATTATTTAGTTTGTTTTGTAAAGGACTAAGAATTTGTTGACTAAGAATTTTTTGTTGTTTTTAAGATATTACTCATGCTATAGAAAACTTCCACCACTCCACAATGCATTTGTATTTTATTTATTTTTCCCCTTATTTTGGCATTTTCATTTAGGTAGAAAGGATGCATGTAATATTAGGTCAGTCTTACCGAGAATGCAGTATATTGGGTCAAATGTGAAAGAAAGTGAATGTTTGGGTCAAAAAAGTGGGAGGGTTACATATTATGGTTGGGAATTCATTTAAACGGTGCATATTTAACTTCTAATCTAACATTATTAAGTTGGAAAATAAAAAATAAAAAAAAAATAATAATGCTTAATTATTATTATTAAAGGAGTATTTTGGATACTTAATAATTTTTCATCTCCCATTGAGATTCGAAACCTCCCCTTTAAAAAGGAAGGAGTGATACCACTTAGCTATTTGGTCATTTGTTGAATTGGGTAGTGTTGTTTGATTAAATAGTAATGCCTATGTTACTTCGACATTATTAAAGTAAATCAAGTTTTCTGATTGCCGGAGTACCTAAGTATCCGCTGCCCCGAGTAATGTAATAATTTTTTTTTTTTTTTTTTTTTTGGTATAGACCGTGACCATTTTCATCGGCTACCGAAAGTTGATCCAATGTAAATCCCTTTTGTTAATAGGAAAAATTTGGACTTCTAAAAAAGATAAGAGATCCTGTAAAATATTCATCCTAGGTTCCTACTCACTCTCCTCTCTCTCACACACGCACATTATGGATTTTATATATATACACAAGGATTAAATACTAAAATAGATTACCGAAAGGTTAACCTGTGGGATCCCTTTGGTTCACGGATCAGATAGAAAATAAATGAGATTGATTTCCCTTTACAACATTCCCCAAACTTTGCTCTCTCCCTTCAATATCTTCCACTATTGCTTCCAAATTTTTTGTTGAGTGGCTCCACAGCATCTTACTTTAAATCAAACTATAATGTCTTTTAGTAATAACAGATGGGAAAGTGATATGTTTCCAAAGTCTACTACTGTTTCATATGAGTGGAGCACATTACATAAATGCAGTCGAATGCATTCGACTTTAGGACGTTGTATCACGACTCTAACAGATAAATTATGAGGCCGGAATGAATAGAGATCTTTATCAATTTGCTTAAAATGCAGCCAAGTTAATACTTTGATGGCTTTTCTCTTGATGGGAGTTTACAGGGTTTTTCTTACATCCTATAGAATTCAAGAACGAATGTCAGGCCTGACACTATGAGATCCATTATTGATTTATTTTGCTACACCACACCATGAATTCAGGCACGAATGCCAGTTATTTTTCATTGACTAGAGGGTTGTCCCCTCTTCAGGTGGGAGTGTGGGACTATTTTCTGTGAGGTTGGTCTCAAAAAAGTCGAATCGAACCAACCTTCGCTTGCCCTGCCTGTTCCTCAATGATTTCATCCCCTTGGAGAGTTTAGCAAATGCCAAACTCTCTGTGAAAATGTCAATACATCACATATACATCCAACTTTTCTCACATTACATGGACGGTAAAGGACCCCTTCTTTCTCTATTACAGAAGCAATTTACTTTTCTATATATGCTTGTAATCTCGAACAACCCTATTAATTTGGGAAACTTGCAATAATGATAATGATGATGATATATGTCTGTAATGTATGAGTAAAGAGTTTCAAATTACATAAATCTAGGATATATATGTGCATAAAAATGGAGAGTTGAGTAGGACCCTTTTTTTATGAAGTCATAATCTCATCTTTAATTTTGTGTCCTATACATGTAATATTCACACTCCTATATATATAATACACACCACTTATTCTTCACTTCTACCCCATTTCTCTCTCTCCCTCTTTCATTGTGTGCGCGAGACACGCATCAACTGTTTTTAATGTCAACGAGAAGCAGTGGACGAGTGTGTTTCAGGCCGAATTTCGACGATGACAAACCGGCCGTCGTTCACAAGGTTAACTCCAGTAAAACAGATGCTGATAAGTGCAGGCGTTTTGCAGGAAATTGCAGATTGTGGCTACCTAAAAGATCAGAGTTGTCGCCGGTGAGAATTCTCAAGCATCTGAGTGACAAAATGGCAACAGCTATGCATTTGGTGTCCTTGAGGAGGAGGAGATCTTCTCCCGAGCCTCCTTCTTCCTCATCAGGAAGATCAAAGCCGTTGGTTGCTCCTATTGATTCTCAAAGAGCCGAAGCCATAGATGATTGTATCAAGTTCATCAATTCTTCTTCCTTGCAGAGAACAAATTCTGTTTCAGCAAATCCGCCGTAGAGTAATTCCTAGCATCGTAGTAGGAAGTGATATTTGTTTGGTTATTGACATTAGACAGAATTGTAGCTCAGCATTTAATTTCTCATGCTCTTGTTTGTTTCCCTGGAAATCATTTTGTTATATGTAAAAAAGTACGATGCTTTAATTAGTTACTACAGTAGTGGTTAGATCTGAAATGATTTGAAATTATGTAATATAAATGAGGTTGGTGTTTGTCTAAATCTTGAGGACATCATTGTCTAGGTAGTTACCTTATAATTTCATATTGATGAGATTGGTGTTGGTCTCAATCCGGAGAATTTCATTATCTACACTAATTATTCCCAACTTTCTAGGAAACTATATCCAAAACCATGAATTATTAGGTTGTTTCCACTGTTTTTTAAGTTTGTGGCTTCACTAATTCTTCCAAACTTTCTAGGAAACTATATTCATAACTATGAATTATATATACAGGGGCGCTGTTTGAAATTGAAATGACCAGACAGCCATGTTAGAAGTGTTCGGAGGTGGGTGTGTCACAAACTCGCGGCAACTGAGCAACCACATGATCTTGTTTTCGAAACCTGGTGCTAGCATGGGACGCGTTGTTGCCTTGGCCTTTTTCGAACCAGTGGAGGGCCAAAAAAATGTGATACCTGCCCTCAAATGCGAAGATGCATGTGGAATATTAGTCCGCGTCATTTATTTGTCATGCATTCGGGGGTGATGGAGACACCTCTGGCAATTTGTCACGCCTGACAATGTCATTACCTAGAATCACTCAATACATTTTGGTGTCCTCATCAGAGAAAAGATGCACAACATCACCATTTAATTTATTGTGTGTGTACAGTTCCTGATTGATGATGAACCTTATGGTTGTGCAAAGCTTGAATTTCAGTTGTCCTTAGCCATATGATTGTTGAAAACCATCGTTGAAGACCACTAAATATCATCTAGTACTTAATAGAGTGTTACAAGCATTGGTGTGTGAGCCTCAAGCTCAAAGCATGAATATTTGATACACCAGAAGGAAATCATTGGCATGATTATAATTTGGGAATGCAAGAAAACATCACCTTTTCATTCTTGATGGAGTATATAAGGATAGAACAAATACAGCAAGAGTTTGGAGTGTGATCAAGGCCATCCATATTGTCGATTGAGATGGAACAAACACTCCAGCGTCTCACCTTGATCACCAGGTAAAGGTTTGGAAATTAAATTTGTGCATTATTTTTTTTTATTTTTGGAAATTAAATTTTACAAAGATTAGGATTGAAAGGATTTAAATTTCTGATTTTATCAAATTAGGATCTACTAGGGAAAGGTTTAAAGTAGTCACTAATTTTTTATTTTTGAAAATTAAATTATTTTGGGAATTAAAGTTTACAAAGGTTAGAAATTGAAAGGATTTAAATTTATGATTTTATCAAATTAGGATCAACTGAGGAAAGGTTTAAATTAGTCACTAATTTTTTATTTTTGAAAATTAAATTTATTTTGGGAATTAAAGTTTACAAAGGTTAGGAATTGAAATGACTTATTCTGATTTATCAAATTAGGATCGACTGTGTAAAGGTTTAAATTAGTCAATAATTTTTATTTTTGAAAATTAAATTTATTTTGGGACGGAATATCAATCTGCAATGGTAAATTCAGCTCCTAGGATGACTCAACAGAATACAAGAGATAACCTGGCATTTACTATTATTATTTTATACAATGTGACAGCTTTGAAATTAAAAAGCTTCGAGTTGATCCAAATAAACATTTTATTCATACTTAGAATAAATTTTACTTACCTCTCTTGAATTTGTCAATATATCACATATCATAAAAGTGATCAAAATGTTACTTTTACCCACTTTCAATGTCTGGAATGACAACAAATATTTTGTGGTCAAAACGACAAAATAACACACTATAAAAGAGATAAGTGTGATTATGAAACATAGAGGGGGTTTATGTGAAATATTAATAAAATTAAAGGGAGGTAATTAAGTGAAAAATACCCAAAGTATAAGATTAATTTCACTTACCTTCTTGGATATTTATTAATATTCAACATAGACCCCTTTATGTTTTATAATCTCACTTAATTCCCCTGTCAGTGATTTTTGTACGTTTTGCACATAAAATGTTTGTTGTAATTTCAGACATTAGAAAGGCAAAATAGTCAAAAGAGATTTGTTACATAAATAAGAACTTCATGAAATGAAATTATGAAATATGAAGGAGTTTGAATATTAACAAATCTCAAGAGAGTTGAATAAAATAAACCCAAAAATTTATCCCGAGAATATATCACCTGGTCACACCACATAAATTTTACGAATTTAAAAAATACTTCATAAAATATTAGGTCTCCACTAAGTAAGGATCTTTCATCAATGGCCTTCAATTTTAAACCTTTCAATATTACCCTTGAAATCAAGCGCATAGATCGATACTGATGTGTAAAAGTCACTTTGGAACTGTGTGAAAATTATGGAGATTCTAATATGCTAACTCTTTCTCAATTCACATGAACTAATAAGAAGAAATCAAGCAAAACAATTAGGAAATTTTGTGATGTGTAATTGTGTTTCATGAAAAATTGACACTATCAAATTTTCATGACAAGTATCATTTTCAAAATGTTATACCTATTGATTCATGCCCTGTTATTTTAATAAAGCCAGAAAAAATAATTTGCAACTTCATTCTGTATATAATATTTTTTTTTTTTTTTTTTTTTTTTTTTTTTAAATAAGAAAGATTAGAAGTTAAATTAGTAGATAGAGATAATTGAAGCATCTCTCATTCTATATTGATTCCTAATATGCAAATTAAAACAATAGTGAAATGTGTTACAGTAAATAATCAAACTGGTTTATTATATGTAGCCCTGTTGTGTTATGAGTCAAAAACAAATCAAGAATTAAACTAAATAGCAAGGCAACAGATTACTATTACACTTTATGGAAAAAAAAAATAAAATGGAAATAGAGAGAAGAGGTCGTAAATTGCAATTAAAGAAGGTAATAATACAGTCTCAGTGTTCGAGAATTATGAGATTAAGATTCAAAGCAATCATATATATAAGAGGAGCTAGAAAAATGAACTAACAATAATTAAGAGCGATCATCATTTCATTTCTTGGCAAAGAGGCCTCCGAAGCCGCCACCGGACTTCTTGGGAGGAACCGCCACGGAGTTCTTTCGGCCGGTGGTGCCGGTGCCACTCTTCTCCTCGACCTTCTTGAGGATTGGATCAGTCTCCAGCATCTGGTCTTCCTTTGCTAAGCCACCAACGATCCAGTCCCACAGCCCTTTCTCCTCTCCCCCGGAGCTCTTTGCTGCGGTGGCGGCGTAGACTCTTCCGGCGGTGGCCACTGGAGAAAAGACCAAATTCAAAGAAGCCATGATGTAGATAGATAGATTATCTATGCTTCAGTGTCAAGGTATATGTGGAGGGAATAACTAACTAGAGAAGAGAGAGTGTGGATGAGATAATATAATTTTATTGGCTCCTATTGGGTGGATATGAGCCGTTGGATGGAGGTGAGAATGTGATGAACTGTTTGCACCACGAGTTCTCCACAAGCGTCTTATCTTCATTTCTTTTTCCTTCCCCTTTTTTTAAAATATATATATATATATATATATATATATATATATAATATTATTTTTACATGTATATAATTATTTATATTGACATTAATTTCATAAGGAGAAAATAAAGGTGGGATGACTGAATGAGAGCTCATCTTCAGCGGATACGGTCACCAATTGGACACGTGGCCCCATTCTAAACATATACATTGTTGCCACGTCATGCAACAAGTCACATCTCAAGTACATTGTTATGAGTTCCTTTTCTTTTTAATATTCATATAGCACATTTATGGAAGATGAACATTCATATAATAAACCTACTGCAACATTAGTAAAAAAAAAAAAAGTTATCAACTTTATGTATTTATTTACCTTGTAGACTTAAAATTATTATATTGATAATATAAAATTATTGTGTTCCTGATTTATAGTTATTGTGTTATCAATTTAAATGCAGTCAACAAAACATATAAATGAAAAAATAATTTCATGTGCATAGTGGAACCATCTAATTTTAGAATCAGGATCCGCTTCTAATTGTTCCACCATGTGCTGCTGTAAAATGAATAATTCAATAATTTTCGTCATTTTTGCAATAATTTTATATTATTTATAACAAATTATATTATTATATTATGGTACATACATATTATACCTTGTCACGAAGATAACATTGTCACGCTATGATACTTGCGCTACCCATACAAGACGTGGCACATGTTGCCTTCCTGGGATCCAGATCCCTAATTCCAACCCAAATCATGCAGGCACCTTGGTCGAGATACCAGCCATAGACTTGAGTCAAAAACATGTACTAATCATGCATAAATTTTCATGCTTAATCTAAACACAACGTAATTGTAATTTTTTTTCTTTTAATTTGAAGGGTAAAACAAATTTATTAATAGAAGAAAAATGTACAATGATCATGACCCAATAGGTAATTGAGGCCAATCCACAATTCAAATTTCATTCCTTCTAAATCATTTTAGAGGAACGTTTTTTATTTTTATTTTTATTTTTTTCAGTAAATAGATTAGAGAATGTTGTTCTAGGTCATTGACCAGAGCAACATTTATCTATATGGAGGAGAGGAAGTATTACTGCATGTGATGAAGACGATGGGAAATCTCATTCCTACATTACTCAAGTTAAAGCTTATGAGGATTTACTAAGCTTTGGAATTATTAAGTATACTTAGAAAAGTGGTAGAGACTTGTTAAGGATTTTGGCTTCAACAGTGATCGGAGTATCGTTGGTATTGCTTATTGTGTTATAAGAAAACTTGTTTTATTTTCTATTTGCTTCAAATGGTATCAAAGCCTTACTATAGAATTTGTGATTACTGTTGACCTATGGCTAGGTAAGGAAGCAAGATAGCCACAAAATAAGACTTACAGAACTTTCACAATCTGCAAAAATAATCTGCAACATCAAATTTCTAGACTGAGCACTCTATTAGAGCTACATGGAATCATTTCTCATCTAAATCTGGACGGTGGACGGAAAGGGATCAGCAAATGGCTGCATATGAATGCGAATATTGGACAAAATAGCCTGCTGGAGAGAGATTTCATAGTCATATGCAGTCTAAAAGTCCAAAACCGAGTAATGCCCGATCACAAAACACATGGACATCAATGGTGAAGCGTATGGAAGAACCTGAATTTTGGTCCTACACATGAAAGGATTCAAGATTCAAAGTCTTCCAAGTTCCCAAAAAATGTAAACTACCACAATATTGACGGAAAATAACTCTAGGGTGAGGAAGATCTTGGGAATTATGTTGATGTAAACTCAACTTTTGATGAATCCTTCAGAAGTATATATTAAGAGGGTGAGACATTGGACGGAAAGCCTGTATGAAAAAGGTGAGACAATGGACGAAAATTCAACCTTTGATGAAACTTTTGGAGGTGTATATGAAGAAGATAAAATCATGGTACTTTACTCGCACATTTATGCAGCTGTGGTGCATTTGATATTCTTAATATACTCACACAAACACGTGCGTACACACTCATATATATATATATTAGGGGTGGCCACAAATCGGATTGAATTAGACATTAATCTTAATTTAATTCGCTCTTAACGGATTGGAAATATCTTAATTCGCCACCGATGCGCTGTCCCACAAATAGAATCGGACCGAATTTGCAAATTGGAAGTTTTTATAAATTGTCAAATATTATTTAATTTTTAACCATAGTCTAATAGATAATCTTTCAATTTATTAACATTAATTCATATATTTAAATGATCCTTAACTAATACATTAAATGGTTATTAACTAAATAAATCAACTAATACATTCCTTATATATATATATATATATATATATATATATATATATATATATATAAATCTCACGGATCGGACTCACAGATCAAATCGAATTTTAACATCCTAATTCGTAATCCGATCCATGAGTTATAGATTTAATTTTTTTTTTTAATCCGTCATCAATCCGTGTGTGTAGCAATCCGATCCGATCTGCACGCATCGGATTGAATTCATGGATTAACGATTAGAGATCCCCCTTCCGTACCCAACCCCGAACAGAACGGACTACTTGGGTTGAAGCGAAAGCCCTATTAAGGTGTTACAGCGAATAGTAGAATTAATTTCCCTTAGACTACCCCGAACAGATCGGATGAATTAACGGATTATTTACCCATCCCTAATATATATATATACAACATTTTAAATTTTAAAAAAGCAATTTGAAAATTTATACTTTTCTTAAAACTATGGAAATAAGTAGTTCCAATTTTATTTAATTTAAAATTAACAAACACACTACTAGAACTCTATTCATGGATTAAATTTATCATTCAAGCACATAACCATGAGCACAATAAATAAAAACCATGTTACACCAAAAATGTTAATCTCCCCTCGTGACCGGATTGTTGAATTATTATTATTATTATTATTATTTTTTTTTTTTTTAACTTCCATCCTAAAAGTGGAAAATAGTATAATGTTTTGTCTTATACCAATATTAGGGCTTACAAATATTAATCTAAACAAAATTAAAATAAATAAAATTCTATTCAATCGGCAAGAGGGAAAATCAATTTTAATTAATTGGGCCAGCCCTTTACAATGCCACCTTTAGTCCAAAAATTATATATTTTACATTCCATAATAAAATCACATACAATGATAAAATAAAGGACCACGAGACTTGAGAAAATAATTAACTTACATCTACAATCAAAATGCTTAAAAAATTTCATACATATAAGCACATGCATATATATGCTCATCCGAATGTGAACTTTATATCAAATTCATGGGTTCAAGGAACTATAAGTGAGCATCATATATACTGTTTCAATTAATTTTTCGGATATGAAATATAGTAATAATAAAATGGTACTTTCATTTGAATAATCAAGCCTCGTGTACCATGTAAATAAAAAACAATGGATAGTGGATTACGGTGATATATTTCATTCTTTACATTTTCTCACCTTTTCCATGTGTGTGTGTATATATATATATATATATTACCCAGGAACTAACTGCTTCAACACCTGCACCATTCTTCGATTAAAAGAAATATTAGCCCATGTGGACATAAATTGCCGTCCAGTGGTTCATTTTGTTATGTTCTTTCTTTTTTGCTTTTTCAATTTTTTTTAATTATTATTATTTTTTATTTATAAAATGATCCATGCTGGGCCTGACTGAATCCACATTTTATTTCAAATAGAAACTTGATCGTGTATTTTTTGACAGAAAAATGGGTTCGGTGCTGATCTCACACCTAAACAGTGTCATTTGGTACTTATTTTTATGTCAAAGTTCACTTTCAATTTTTCTGTTCAAATAATAGACCCATGGAAATCACATGTATTATTAGCTCTTGATTTTCATTATTAAATTAAATCAATGTCATAATTGGATTTAAAAAAAAAAAATGGCGGAAATGATTTTTAATAAAATTTAAAGATTTGGAATGGTAGGTTTGCGTAACCCTTTATATAGTGATTGAGTAATCTTAATTATAGTTCTATTTAATTTAATTAATTACTATAATTATGATTATTTTATTGTAATTGCACTCTAATATTTAAAAATTACAACATTATTTTATCATATTAATTGTTGAATAAAAGTCCTCCACTATCTAATATTTATAGGTATCTAAGGAAAATTAATTACTTAAATATAGTTCCACCCAAGCATACGAATTTCTTATATCCCTTAGTATGTCTTATAATAGAATTTCAAAATTAATAGTTTTTCTATATATAATATTAGAAAAACATTTTAGTAAAAGTCCCGATCATGTAATTCTCGTGATTAAACTAATTAGGCGATATTCTCTTATTTTTATAAAAAATGTGAACTCAGCATTCCAATATTAGTCACCCACGATAATATGGTATTGATGTTAAAAGATCTTATACAGTAGTAAGTCAAAGTGACTAACGTTAAAACTTGAATCCACTAAATGTCACATGATTTAGTTGAGGTAAACAATCTATTGTCTGAAATTTTTTTACATGGTGCAGGATTACATGGTTCCGGTCAAACACAACTCAACACACTTAAATCTTGATTTTTTTTTTCTCTTGCATGTCACCGTTGTGATTGGTTGGAACCATTTAATCATGCACCATGTAAAAAATTTCTCCTAGCACGGTTCGGAAGTTGTTAGTTGATTAAGTTGAGAATTACTACTCTAATTATCTAAAAGTGAATAGATTAGATTGCCCACTTTGTGTGATTGATTAATTTACCCTACAATGATGATCAATTAAACATCCACAACCACAAAAAAAAAAATTATAAACGGTAAAGTAAAATAAGAAAAATAGAGGTTGAGATATGACACTGGGTTTTTGAGGGTGAAAATCCTAGTTAAAAG